ATGAACCAATAACCAAATTGTAGTTGATACAAAAGGGTCAGTACATGGGTGAGCACTGGGGGTACAAACAAATCAGATTATACATAATCAACATCCATCCCACTGACCCCAAAAACGACACCATACGACCAACAACAGGTGGAATAAATGGTGAAATGCAGTTTCCCATAGAAGGGATGGGAGACAACTGAGTCAACAAGCCAAACACATAAGACCAAGGAAGCCACATACTGAATCTCTACACAGCCCACATTTACAAAAGCCAGACCTGACTGGAGCCCAGTCCCAGGGAGGCAGGAGGTCCTTCCCCAACAGGGAACTCTGCACAGTACATCCACCTCACAGACAGACACTGCCCCTGCCTGCAAGTGGTCCCAGCTTTTATCCCTAAGTGGGACACCTGACCCTTGGTTACTTAATGTGGGACACCTGGGGCTCATTTACCCAATGGCTCTCCCTGCCAGGCCGGCTGCACCCTGGAGGGAAGCCTAAAGGCAAACTCACCCCCCTTTGTGAAGGGCTGTGGGAATCACCCATATGTCAACCTTAATTTGGGGCTTGAAACCCCAGCATTTCACTTGGCCCCTTGACATATGGGTGGACCACAGCCCTCACACGATCTCTGAGTGACATCTTTATCTTGTATTTGGTTACAGACTGCCACAGTCATCTCAGCTGTTTCTTCATATTCTTCACTGTTGTGGTCTTTTTCATTGAAAGATCAGTGTGACTGTGGATCTGAAGCTGATGTCATCTGCTCAGCACAGTTCAGTGTCAACTTGTATTCCAGTCTACTAGAGCCTTTACTATTGGAGAGGACCATTTTTTCCAGAATATTTGTAGCTCCACATGGGGTTGTTGGTCCTCCCACGCCCAATGTACCGGAGCCTGACCAATATTTCAATATGAATTACAGTACCCACTTTCTCTTGAGGAGTACAGGTCAGAATACTGCTGCCATTCACGGTTCTTCCCCAGAACAACCAAACTGCTCCCAGAGGGCCCACAGTGAGCAAAGGCAGGATCCCGTTGAGGATCCAGAGGGGGTGCTGTAGACTGAACAGTTTCTGAACAGTGTGCTTGATAATCCTGCACTTTTCTACGGGGTTTCTGTAACCCTCTCTGTTTGTACAACCTCCATAATTCACTGGTGTCAAGACCATCAATTTTAGCAAGAGGTACGCCATCTTTCAATAAAGCTTTAAACAACTGTCCTCGAGACAGCCGATGCCCAGTATTTTTAGCACGTCAGGTGTCTCGGTTCTGTGTATTCTCCCAGGGGCCCCGTTGACATTGGAATTCTCAATAGCCCTGATGCTCCCAGGGAGTCCATTCTCCAAGGTCATCTCACTGATGCATTTTCTCAAGTACATCTCTAATGGGATTTCCTGTTTCACTCAGTAACAGTCTCACAAGAACATTCTTATAAGCCAGTGGAACAGTTCTAATGGTTGCATTTCTCATAGGCACAGACAATCGAAGTTGCATCAACACGGCCTACATTAATGGCCAGTTTCATTCCTTCTTCTTCAATCGCTGTATACCATCCCATAGAGTATACCACGGCCAGTCTGAACCTGGCCAGGAATTCTCTAGGGGGTATTTTGCCTTGCACCCCACAGCAGCTAAAGCCAAAAGATTAGTACTGTCATCATTAGTCCAAAACGCTTCCTGCCCCAGAAGGTCTGGACTCAGAGTTACAAACTTTCTGCAGTCAAAATTATCCAGGCTAACCCCTGATGCTCCCTGATCATGTAAACGTACCATACAAGTAAGCAGGGGCTCTCCTGGTCTCTGACTGAACCATACAAGAATATCACTGATTTCTTGCTGTGTGAAATCTTCCATTGTAGGTCTATTTACTGGTGGCTCACCCTCAGAAAATTCCACCTTCCTCCTGATGACTGGTCTCACATCTGCAGAGTCATCTGAGGCACCAGCCCCATCAAACTCCGCAGGGTACCAGACATCAACATCCGAGTCATCAGGGTTACGGTGTACATCCACCTGTATAACCTCTGAGTGGACCTTCTTATGACTGTTGTCCCTGTCTCTTCCCACGTTTACACTGGGCAACATGTACTGTATCCTTCTCAGGTACAGTTTGAGAAGTGTCTAGTTTATCAGAAGGAGCTTGTTTACAGATTCTAATGTCATAATCTGAGCTTGCATACAGGAACATTCAGCCAGTAAGTGATCTTTTTGCTGGTGCTGTTTCTTATATGCTGTTAACAGGATCCATCCCCATCTCCTGAAGATTACAGCATCCTGTGCCTTACTGGAGAATTTCTGAATATTTTCTAATACATCCTGCGGTTCAGCCTCTGCCAACTGCTTTTCCCACTGTTCACAGGGTCCCCCAAATTTAATTCATTCGAGGGTCAGCAAACCATAGAGGATCTTCCCAACCAGGAACTTCAGACAGGGCCATCCTCATCGCCAATTTTGTTTTGCCAATTATTAAGCCTAGCATAAAGGACACAGCCAGCATAAAGATGAACCAATAACCAAATTGTAGTTGATACAAAAGAGTCAGTACATGGGTGAGTGCTGGGGGTACAAACAAGTCAGATTATACATAATCAACATCAATCCCACTGACTCCAACAATGACACCACACAACCAACAATGGGTGGAATAAATGGTGAAATGCAGTTTCCCATAGAAGGGATGGGAGACAACTGAGTCAACAAGCCAAACACATAAGACCAAGGAAGCCACATACTGAATCTCTACACAGCCCACATTTACAAAAGCCAGACCTGACTAGAGCCCAGTTCCAGGGAGGCAGGAGGTCCTTCCCCAACAGGGAAATCTGCAAAGTGCACCCACCTCACAGACAGACACTGCCCCTGCCTGCAAGTGGTCCCAGCTTTTATCCCTAAGTGGGACACCTGACCCTTGGTTACTTAATGTGGGACACCTGGGGCTCATTTACCCAATGGCTCTCCCTGCCAGGCCGGCTGCACCCTGGAGGGAAGCCTAAAGG